TCCACAAACGGCAACTGCTCTCACAACTAGAGACTGACGAGGTGCAACACAAATGCTACGGCAAGGGCGAGCCATGACGCCAGGTCGGAGGGGAGCTAACACTAACTCCCCAACCAGAGACTGGGCAGAAAACCCCAGTAAGTAAACAGAAAGGCAGCCTGAATGAACAAGTCTGAAAATCTCCTAGGAGATGTGAATGCTCACATTCACCCAATTTGAAAACCTCTGATCTAATCCATAACTCTAATTGTAACCCTATCTTACCTCTAACTCTGAGCCTATCCCATAGCTCTAAACCTTGCCCCAGCTCTAACTGTAGCTCTAACCATAGCCCTCATTCTACCCCTACCCTAGAATTAACCCTAGTCCTAACCGTAATCACAGCAGTAATCGTAGCCCTAACCTCAATTTTAGCCCTAATCCTGTTGCTCTATTCCTGAATCCTAACCCTAGTCCAATCCCAAAGCCTAAACCAAGCCCTAAAACTGACCTAACCCTAGACCTAACATTTGCAGTAACCCTAGACTTAACCCTAACCCTTTGCTTTAACCCTAACTGTAGCCCTAAAACCTGGCCTAATCCTACACCAAGTCTAAACCCTAACCCTAGCTCTAACCATAGCCCTAATCCTAATCCTAACTCTATCTGTAACCTACCATTGAGGTGACATGAATCAAATCTCAAGATCTCAATAACACATGTGGAGAAACTGATAACAGCACAATCCAGCTACATCAGCAGCAGTTCTGAATGTGGCAAAAAAACAGACAGGAAAATATTCTACATGTGTTGTCGTGTTCTCATTTCAGATGAGCAGCGATTCAGACTCAGATGACTTTATTTATCCCTCCAGGGGCAATTCGAATGAGCAGCAGCTTCAAACAATAAAAACATTTTAACACATCAATCTCACCACAAACACAGTGGAGCCCTTTCATAAATATGTGCTACAATAAAAATAGCATTAACACAGTGTAATGCAGATAACCAATCCAGGTCTACAATGACAATCCCCAGCCTCTCCACGGAACACATGTTGTTTCGGTCTGCTACAGTTAAATGAAAGTGAACGACCAGTGCCGCTGTGAGCAAATAACCTACGAGGAACAGTTTGTGGCATGTTTGAAAATCAAATGCTAAATGTAAATGAGATGTTGCCAATCAACGATGGTGAGAGAACCAGACGGGAGTGAGCTGTTGATTGCACTGGTTATGAGGTGGTTGACTTTGGAAAGGTGGAATTTAAAGAGACCTGCTGGAAGAAGATTCAAAGCACAGCTGGAGAACCTCAACAGAAAATGGTGTACTCCACCTGCAGCCCACAAATGTGTCTCTGTGAGGTGTCCATGTTGGAGGGCATTTTGTTGAGGACATTGATATAGTGTTGAATCATGTTAGAATTTCCATGGGCTTTATTTATGTAATGACACTAGACTCTTGCATTTTTTGTGTTTTGGTGCTCATAAAAGTGATTGCATTTATATAGCACCTTTCAAGATACCCAAAGCTCTTTACAGTTCATTATTCAGTCACTCCACACTCAGTGGTGGTAAGCTGTCAGTCTGCCCTGGGGCATGCTGCCGGAAGCAAGGATGCCAATCTGTGCCATCAGCCCCTCCAACCACACCATCACTCTCACACACACACACCACTTTCATACTAGGCAGAATCCCTAGCAGTCTCCCATCCAAGTATTACCCAGGCCCAGCCTGCTTAGCTTCTGAGATCTGACAGGATCAGGCTTTGACAAGCTGGTATGGCCACATAGTAGGCAATTTTATGAACAGCAAGGGCTGATGGTACAAATGTCTTCCAGGACACACTCAACAGTTTTCGGTTTTTAGAATTTCCCTGGAAACAAGCACAATCAGAGATAGCAACCTGGTCCCCCATGAGGCACTGGTGGGGGCAGTTCATCACCAAGGAAGCACTTTATGAGGAGCCCAGCCCATATGTTATGTGTGTGCCAACTTGTGTGATGATTGGGTGAATATTTTAGGCTGCAGATGGTTCAGAAATTACTCAAATTGACGATCCTTTATAATGGCGTGACCTTTCAATTGTCAACTCGTGTGACCTCAAATGACCTCAGATCGTCACCAAACTTTTTTTTTTTTTTTTTTTTTTTTGCAGCATTGTGCATGGGGGCTGGACCCACGTACCACATTTGGTAACAATTGGTCCATAAATGGCGGAATTATAGCGGATGGACACACACACCCACGCACACACACACACACACCCACACACACAACCCTTCAACCCCCCACAGCAACTTCACAAACCTGACACAATGTGCAGTAGTTTCATTAGCAAAATGCCCACCAATTGCAATTTGATAGTGCTCTGAAGGGGTAGTGTCTTAGCACAGAGAGCAAAGGGAGGGGGGACTCAGAGCATCAATAATGAAACTTCTACATAGTTTTTAGGATAGAGAACATTTTCAACAAACTTTGGTAACATGGTGATCTAGATATGTTCTAAATAACACTCCATGTATGTAATGTTGATCAGGGGAAAAAAGTGAGTTCACTTTTGTTAAAAATGCTTCCTAACAGGATGCAGACAACACACAGCGGTCACACTTTTTCACACTTAATAAACCTGGGCCATAACACAGGCCTGTATGTGTCTGTGCAGCAGTTAGCCAGAGCAGAGCAGATTTATGGCTCTCAGCAGCACGATCGCCCTGCTCACATCTACAGTTATCTGCTGTGGGCGCGGGAGGCGGTGTTATCTGTGCAGTCAGGGGAACAACAGCTCAGCACACCATTACATGTGTTTTACTGGGACTTTAAAGCACACACCATAAGCACAGGTTCATCAGAAGCACCGTGCAGGAGAAGGTTTGCTGTTGAACAATGGAGCCAAACTGATAATGTCCCTGTTTAATGCCGCGCTGCACCAGTCGTTCAGAGTCAACTTAAAAGCCTTAGAGCAACAGCAGATTTTAAAAAAAATAAAATAAACTGAAATTAATGACACAGTTTTGCAGCTGTTGACGCTGCGGTGGACTCATTGACTTATGGCTCATTTATGGAAATTTGCATAGATGAAGCATTTTAGCACATGGTGGCAGGTCTTAATAGTACCACATTTGAATTAGCCAGTTAATATTGCACTTTCAAGGCTATGGAGGAGGATAAACCTGAAGTCCTTAGGTTTTGAAGCCAGTTTGGGGAGAATCTCCACATCTGTATTCTTCTGAAAGTGTTCAAATCATCAGTAACTGTACAGTGTTCAGATTGTGAAAATGTTAAAGGACCTACTTTGTTCTTTAAAAGAGTCCTCCGCTTCTGCACTGTCTGAAAGCTACTAGTGAACTTGGAGGACTAAATTGTGATTAAACATCACCACTAAACGTTTCTCAGTGTGTTAGACATTAAGCGAACACCTTTGCCAAAACTACTGTTGGTCACATCATGTCCTCTTTTCTCTCTCTTCTCCTTCTGAATGACCCCATTCCTACAACATCATTCAGTTTCTCCTCCCACTGAAATAGGGAAGAATCACTTTGACGACCAGGATATCTTATCTTTTATCCACTTAACTAAGGTCAGAGTAACAGAGTAACAGGGGCTGAAGATAAACAGCTCATAATTATATAATAACAGCAGAGGAGATCACTGGATGTGACTTTACTCCCATGACATTTATGAGGAGCGTTGCAGAAGACGGGCCTCCAGGATTATGGGGGACCCCTCGCACCCTCCCACCACCTGTTTGTTCCTCTGCCTCTGGGAGGAGACTGAGGAGCATTAAAGCCAGAACATCTCAGCTGAAGTTCAGCTTCTTTCCTGAGGCTGTCAGACTTTTGAACAGTGCTCACTGACTTCCTGCTTGGGCTGCCTCTCTGTCTTGCCATGTTTTTTTTACTACTTGTTCATTGGAACTGCTAAATGTTGTTGTTTTGAATGTATTTACTTTTTAACATTGCTTATTTATTATTGTTTTTATCTCTTTCTGGATCACTGGGCCTCAGGGAGCACATTTCGTTCTGTCATGTGTTTCTCTCGCATGTTTGAATGACAAATAAAGAACCTTGAACCTTGTAATAACACACCAAATTTATTTTGTATTTCCATGAAAAATGCTCCTGTGTCTTTGCAGATTCTTTCAGTAGAAGAAAGGGACGAGATGTGCTTAAACTAAAAGAAATGTAGACAGTTTAAAAAGCCACTGGGCCCAGATCATAAAATAAACTAAATATATCTCAAGTTGGACACACTGGTTAAACAGACAGAGTTTAATGACAGAGTAACTTGGTCAGTTTATAATAATGATTTATTATAACTATACATGAGTTAGGTTCTTTTTTCTTTTAAGTTTGTTTATTTAAAACATTTCCATTTCAGACATATCACATTGTGATGCACTCCTCTCCACAGGCTCACACCAGGCAGCCAGGGCATCTGACAGAAATGGACAAGCAGAACATTACACACACTGAAAAAAAAGGTCACTGGATTTGCATAAAAAAGTTATAGAAAGCGGTTGCATGCAATAAAATTAATGTTTAGGCTTTGAAACGTATTTTGATCCTCTCTACACATATTTTTCTCAGAACATGAATGGCACTTTTTCATGTTGATGAAATTTGATCAAATCATGCTGAATATACATATTTATCTTATGTTACCTTATTGTGAAATATATAAGTATGTATAATTTAATTTAATTGATCTAATTCTATAAAATAATACAAAAACAGTCTTTAGTTTTCAACAGTTCTGTATTGTCTTAAACAGAATCAAACACACAAGAGCACAGAGACACACAAGTACAGAGACACACAGTTTGGAGCTGGACAGTGTGAAGATTTATTCCAGTGAAGAAGCTCTGGTCTCTGTGGACACAGAATAACACATGATGATCACATTCTGATGATCTACTCTGTTGTACATGTTTAAATACATTTAAAGCACTTATTAATACAATAATGGACCAGAACAGAATTACAAGAACATTAGAAGTGTATCTGCAGAAACAAAACTCACCGTGTGCTGCTTTTCTTCCTCTAAACGCAGTAACAGGGAGGGCATCTGGTATAAAGTCTCCTAGTGCCACATCACCCTGTAGAAACATGATCACTGTTTCAATAGGAAGTATATTTTGAAAAAAAACTTTTAAAATCATTTTAGTTGAGTTACTTACTTTGTTCATCTGTGCTCTGTGGTTTGTTGGTTCTCAAACATCTTCCTTTTTTCTGAAACATCAGCTGTAACATTCATGAACTTCCCCACAGCTCCAGCAGAACCTGGACGTCACTCTGTGTTTGTAGACGACTCTGGAACAAACACAATCAAATCTTAGTACAACTGTCACACTCTTGTAGATGGACAGTCAAATATAATTTGTTTCATGGAAACAGTTCTTACATTAACTCTAATTTCAAATAAAACACCACAAACATGTTTTAACAATGACGACATTCTAGTCCAGAGAAGCACATCAAATCTTTGAAAAGTCTCACCTCCAGATCAGCTCTGATAATCCTCCTGCTCCACACTGTGTGTCTCTGCTCCTGGAACTGTCCTGTGTCCTGTTACATTTGAATTTTCCCTCCAAAAGTTTTGGGGAGGAGAATTCCAGAGGGAGGAGCCTCACCACAGATTATAATAAAATCATGTTTCCTCAACCTGATTAAAACAGAGACATACTCATACCAGAGCAGGGCAGTGTGTGGGTAAGGCTGTAGGAGGGGTGCCTCTAGAAGAGAGCATGTGCTTGTTTACACAAAATCACTGATTTCCAGGGAGGCAGCAAGACACAGAAGATCACCAAGTTTAGAAGACAGGAGCTAGAGGGAGAGTCCTTTTGATTAGAGAGAGGAGAGTAAAGCAAAATTACTTAATATTATTTGACTTTTTGGGGTTATTAACTGCTAACACATTTAGATCATCATGTTACCTTTTACTGTTTTGACAATACACATACATGTCTTATAAATCCGTGTATCATTCGTTCATTCGTTTTTCAATATAAAACCAAAAATAAGAAAACGAAAAAACAACAGTTTTCTTCGTTATTTGTCTCCAAAACCAAAATGAAAAAACAGATAACGATTCGTTTTTTCAGTTTTCGATTTTGTGTTTAAATGAAGAATGGAAAAAACGGATAACGGCCGTTTCCCGTTTACGTGACTTCCGTGACTGCGATGCCGGACTTTTGCACCGCATACGGACTGAATCAGGACGGATCCAGGTCCGAGACCAGAGCGGGACTGAGACCGGGACCAGACCGGGACCAGACCGGGACCAGGGCGGACTCCGAGCTTTGACTCCGAGCCTCCACGGGGTCCGAGCCTCAGCTTCGAGCTCCGGCCCTGCCGTGGGCTCTGAGCCTCCGGTCTGGTCCCGGTCTGGTCCTGGTCTTGTCTCGGTCTCGGTCTCAGGCCCGCTCTGGTCCCAGTCTCACCGCATATGGACTGAATCAGGACGGATCCAGGTCCGAGACCAGACCGAGACCAGAGCAGGACTGAGACCGGGACAGAGCTGCTCTGGTCCTCTGCGCTCAAGAACCACGGCTGGTTCCGAGGTGGTGCAAAGCATCAAACTAACGCTTTCACACCAACGAAAATGAATCGAACTAAGAGCTTTTGGTTCAAATGGACCAGGTCCGGGACCAGACCGGGACCAGAGCGCTACTGAGACTGGGACCAGACCGGGACCAGAGCGGGCCTGAGACCGAGACCGAGACAAGACCAGGACCAGACCGGAGGCTCAGAGCCCACGGCAGGGCCGGAGCTCGAAGCTGAGGCTCGGACCCCGTGGAGGCTCGGAGTCAAAGCTCGGAGTCCGCCCTGGTCCCGGTCTGGTCCCGGTCTGGTCCTGGTCTCAGTCCCGCTCTGGTCTCGATCAGGTCTCGGACCTGGATCAGTCCCGGTTCAGTCCGTATGCGGTGCAAAAGTCGGCATCGCAGTCACGGAAGTCACGTAAATGGGAAACGGCCGTTATCCGTTTTTTCCATTCTTCATTTAAACACAAAATCGAAAACTGAAAAAAACGAATCGTTATCTGTTTTTTCATTTTGGTTTTGGAGACAAATAACGAAGAAAACTGTTGTTTTTTCGTTTTCTTATTTTTGGTTTTATATTGAAAAAACGAATGAACGAATGATACACGGATTCTTATAAGGTCCAATTTACACGTACACAGGTATTTTTAAAAAATGGAGACATTTTCCTTTGTTTGTACCCATCTTTTTTTTTTTTTTTTTTTTAAACTCTGTTTATTATAATTTTATAAAAATATACATGTTTCCAACATACATTATATTTCACAACATATACACATTCAATAACAGAACAACCTATATATAAATACACATAACACTTACATTATAGGGCTGTCTCAATATTTACCTACGATTAAAATGGTCAGTAAAAGGTTGCCATGTTGTGTACAAAAAAAAGTTCTTGTTTTTCCAATTGTAAATGTTGCATTATATCTCGCTGAAGATTTTGATGGGTTGGGTTTTTTTTTTGCTTTTCCAGTTAAGTAAAATCAGGCACCTGGCCAATAGTGTAACATAACTCAAGACATTCTTTTGCTTACTGTTTAAACTCACATCAGGAGTTGGCAGCCCAAAAAGTGCCATCATGGGGTCTGTTGGAAGGTGGGTCTTTAAAATCACTGAAAGAGTTTCAAACGTTCTTGTCCAGTAAAGTCAGGACAACCCCAGAATGTATGAGACAAAGAGGCAGGACTATATCCACATCGTTCAGAAGACGGATCCACCCCTGGAAACGTCCTGGACAGTTTGTGTTTAGAAAAGTACAGTCTGTGTAGGATCTTAAACTGGATTAGTCCATGTCTGCTACACACTGAGGAGGAGTGGACCTGTTCCTGAGCTTCAGACCACTGGTCCTCTGTGGTATTTATTACTAAGTCACCGCTCCAAGTTTGTACCCATCTTTTACACACAAACGTAGAATATGAAAAACTTCTCTCCTTTGAAAAAAGGAGTCTCCCCTCTTTTTGCCCCCGACACTGAGTCGATCTGTCATAACACAATCAGCATGCATCCTGCTCATGACACTAATGCACGTCAGCTTTGTGAAGTCGTAGTGTTGTTTTGTATCCTGCTTCTATATCTATGGAAACCGGTTGCAGGAGCAGGTTTGTGGGAGTTTTTTTTTTTTTTTTTTTTTGATGAGGGAACATTATAACATGGCAAAAAGCTACAAAAAGTCCATTGTATAGAATCCAGCCTATTCACAATGTCTACAGCAAGTGTCATTATCAGTGTTGGGGAGGTGACTTTTAAAATGTATTCCCCTACAGATTACAGATTACATACCCCAAAATGTAGTTTTGTAACGTAATCCATTAAATTACTTTAGGTGAGTAATGTAATCTGAATACTTTGGATTACTTCATTTGCTGTAGAGGAGTAAAGACGAGGAAATCATAACATAAGATGTTTTGTCTGCTAAAAGAAAATAAAAAGATGTTAAATCCTGTTTTAGACGTGGTTTAGACCTGGTTTAGATCTAGTTTAGATCTAGTTTAGACCTGGTTTCAGTCCTGGTTTAGACCTGGTTTTAGTCCTAGTTTAGACCTGGTTTTAGTCCTGGTTTAGATCTAGTTTAGACCTGGTATAGTTTCCGGAAATGAGTGGCCCAAAATGTGAAAGCAGAAAAACAGGAAAATACCTCTGTGTAATCCATTTATTTCAACACAGTAACTGTAATCCAATTACCACTCACTCAAACAGTAACTGTAACTGAATACAGTTACTCATAATTTGTACTCTGATTATGTAACTCTGGTGCATGTAATCTGTTAGTCCCCAACACTGATCATTATAACTGACTTAAACGTTTTACCTTACATACCCCAAGAACACTGGCAGCAGCTTTGAGAGATGTGGAACAGTTGGCACTATTTCGAAATATTGACACTGAAAGATGTGGCCATTCTTCAGAAAGTTGTTTAGCAAGTCCATTCTGTCTCCCTGTTGAATTAATCCATTTATTAATTCATCACAAAATCATTTAAGTATGAAAAAAGGGAATGGAACCTGTCATAATAGCAGCACCATGTTTCCAGGCCGTAAATCTGTTGTGTAGGGAATAAGAATGCCATTAATGTCATTAATGCACGCTGTTGTTTATTGCCAAACCTGAATCAGCTTTTTCAGTCCATCAGGCACATCAGAGAAGCACTGGCAAAAGACCTTCCCCCTGTTATCCAGATAACTAATAATATAATAATGACCCAAGCTATTGTCTAGACCAGAGGTGCTCACACTTTTTCAGCATGTGAGCTACTTACAAAATGACCAAGTCAAAATGATCTACCTAATACAAAGCCAAACAAACTGCACTGAAACACTCTGTGCCCCTTTTTTGGACCCTCACCCACAGTTTGAGAACCTCTTCTTTAAGAGAACTTCCTCTGGCACTTTACACAAAACTGTGAAAAAAGTGAAGGAAGTAGGTAAGATTAAACCTGTTTTTTAAAGTTCCAAACTGGAGTTACATTCTTTTCTGGTTTTGCAGTGATATTTACCAGCCTCTGCACGTTTACCAAACCAAACACACATCGTGACAAACACAGATGCATTTGTGCACTTTTGTTAGACAAACTTCAGCCAAATGTGGCAGTAGGTCTGTTCTGTAGATCCGCTCTATGCTGTAGACCTGCTTTGTGCCAACACTGGAACACAAATTTAGACTGGTTTTTGCTTCACGTTTGGTCTTGCTCTTCTAATCAGCCGCACTGTGGGAGGGGCTTGTGTTGGCTGTACGCAGGAAGGAGCGAGAGCGTGAAAAGGCGAGGGGCGGCGTGCTGACGTGAGGCAGATGGACAGGTAGGATGTTTAGGAAGTTGAACCTGCCCTGTGATGCACGCTGGTACACGAGGGCACACGCTGTTGCAGACGAGCCGTGCATAGGGAGCGTGTGTGTTTGTGATGTGCCGTAGAGTCTCCGCGGGTTTCAAATGAGCGCACAGGCTGCACTGAGACGCCCCACACGCTCCTGCACCCGCTACAAGTTTATTACCAACAGCAGCGGCCGTAATGAAATATGATCACACTTGTTGAGTGTCAGACCTCGAGTGAGAGACAAGACCGAGTCCAAACGCGATTGATTCCGAGACGAATACTAAGACACGACGATCTACCCACACGACCTTGGCGATCAACTGGTAGATCAAGATCAACGTATTGAGCACCCCAGTTTAGATTATGTTTTTATTTATGTATTTTGTATTTATTTGAGTTGAGTTGTGTGCTCCTCTATGTTTTTTTTTTTATTTATTTTTATGTGTTTTTATTGGTTTTATTGATTTAATTTATTTATTGGTTTATTTATTTCTATTCTATCATTTTGTTTTTACTTTATTTTACTGGTTTTATTATTTTAAGGCTAGTATTATTTTAGTAGTTTATTTTATTATCTTATTATTGTTGGTATTATTATGTGTTTGTGCAGCACTTTGGAAACTGTTTGTTTGTGAAATGTGCTGTAGAAATAAAGTGGATTGGATTATTTATTTATTTATTGCAAGAAGACAAAACATGA